CTTTCCTGACGTCTCCACTTCCCCTCTCACTGCAGTCATACCCGTCGGGGTCACTGCGATAACCTGTAACTGCTTCGAAAAAGCGTTCTGCCAAATAGGCAACCTCGTTAAACCCGCTGTCACTCCTGGAGGTTGATAGCCTTCTAAGGATGGTGTTTCTTTCCCTTTCCACCTTGGGCCTTCCATACAATGCCCAGTTGTTTTTTTTTTTTTCTTTTTTTTTGAGATTCGTTAAGTAGTCATTGAGGCAGTCGTTTATTTCTTCGTCCTGCACTCGTGGCGGTTTCTTCTTCGTGCCCCTTTCACCTCTTCCCTTTTCTGCGTCTTGGCTACCCTTAGTCCTTCGCGTCATGTCGGGTTTTTCCTCTCTCACTTCTTTGTCTTCGCGTTGTGCTCCGTTCTGCGTCCCCTCATTTTTGGCTTCTTTTTCGCTAGCCCCCTTCTTCACCTCGACTTCGACTAGGGTTTCTCCCTTTGATTTGTCTGCTACATTTGCTACGTTTGCTTCGTCTGCTACCTCTGCTCCTTCTGCAATCTCTGCTCCGTCTACTACCTCCGCTCCGCCTGCTACCTCTGCTTCGTCTTCTGCCTTTGCGCTCATGTTCCCCGCCCTGACTGACCTATCCGCTAGCAGGGCCACTTTCTTCCTTTCCAGCAGCTGCAGCTGTAATTCCTCCAACTCTTTTTTTCTCCGAGCGTTTTCTATTTCCAGTTCGAGCAGTTCCTTCTCTTTCCGCTTCTTCTCAATTTCTATGTCCACATCTACGTCTTCCCTTTCGGATAGTGCTTTTTTTGGGGCACTGCCCTCTTCAACGCAATTTCTCCCTTCGGGGGGGATTTTGTTCACTGATTCTTCTTTTAGAGCAGATCCGTCTTGGTTTATCACACCTTTCTCCGCCTTGCATCCGTCATCCCCCTCCGTGTTGTCTACACTCTCATGATCCGAGCCAAAATTGAAAATATCAAATAGGGACTTATCTGGAACGTAATTGTTTATCGCCACGAACAAATCATTCACCGCGTCGTTCTGCGTGGGTTCTCCTTCCCCCTCTTGAGGATCCTTCGGGGGATGATCCTGACTTCGTTTCGCTTCTGTACCATACCGCTCGGTAACTCCCCCGTCTAACGTTGGCATTACGGAGTTCTCCATCACCCCCGCTTCTCTCCTTTCGAGGGTAAGAGTTTTCCCCCTTTTCCGGATAATCTCATTCTTCATTTTGATCAGATCAATTTTGTCTCTTTTTATTTTTTTTTTTTTCTCACTTATGAAACTTTCATAAGAAAAATCGCTATCCCTGATTTCTGACATGGGTACACTTTTATTTTCTTCCTTTAATTTTACAACATTATCCTGTTCGTATGCGTGGAAGAGAAATTCCACTTTGTCATATGCTGAGTTAGACAAATCATCTCCTTTCGTTTTTTTTTTTTTTTTCTCCTTTTCAAGCATGTAATTTTCATACAAGGGGTTTAAAAACCAGGCGCTTGATGTCCTTTTGTGCTTAAAGTTGTGCTTTGGCAAATTCACGTCGTAGGTTATTCTCCTCCCTTTCGTCTTGTGCTTCTTTGCAAGGTTCTCCAAAATTTCAAAGTCCTTCTGATCGTACGATTCGTATATGTAATAGTATACGTTTTTCAAAATGTCATCTTTGAAGGTGTTCAGTTGGTCTGCCTTGATAAGATTGTCCAGGTTGAAATTCTCCAGGTTGAAGTTGCCCTCGTTGGGGGTGTCCTGGTTGGGATTATCCTCGTTGGGGTTCTCCACTTTGCTGGTGTCAGGTTGATCTCCTTTCGGCGCTGCTTCTTCTTTGGTCGCCCCGCCATCTTTTCCTTTCCCCTTCGCGTTGCTCTTATCTTTGGCTTTTTTTTTCTTCCTCATGTTTTCCTTCTTTATTCTTTCAATTTCTCTTTTCAGTTTGTGTATGACTGCGCTTCTCTTGGACTTCTTGCCCTTCTCGGCTGCTTCATCCTTTGCGCTCTTCTTCTCCTCGTCCCCGTTTCCCTCCCCTTGGCTATTCCTTCCCTTGTCATTGATTTGATTTTGTTTTTTTAATTCTTCGACATTTTTTTCTAGCTCATTAATTTTTACCCCCATCTGGGAAATCAGCTCCTGGTTGTCTTTGCTCCCTTTCTGCATTTCATCAATCACATCAATCACATTTAAATTTAAGGACGTGTCGATAATGGTATGAGTGACGTTCGAATCTTCTTTTTTCTCCTCACATATTTTGAATTCGTCGTAAAAATTATCATAAAAGTACATTTGTTCTACTAGCCTATTCATGCCTTGTGTGTATTTCTTCAACTCGTTTTTGTTCCCTGTCTCATTCTTTGCACTATCCTCATCGTTGCTGCAGAAGAACTTATCGTCGTCTTCACACTTTCGAAGAATATAGTTCAGTGTGAAGTCTTCGTCGTACTTCACCTTCCCCTGGTTATTATACTCCACTAGGTTCGTCCCGTTGATGTTGTTTTGCCTTGGCCTGATTCCCCCCTCGGCAGGACCCACGCCCATGTTACCGTACCGTGGGTAATTTCCCCACTGGGGGTAACTCTCACAATTGTCGTAATTGGAGTAATTCCCGTAATTGGAGTAATTCCCATAATTGGGGTAATCGCCATAATTGGGGTAATTCGTGTAGTTGGGGTAAATTCCAACCTCGTTACTCACCGGGAAATTAGCCGACTCGTTCGTCAGACAGTTAGCTGGCGCGTTCACAGGGAAAGTAGCCGACTCGCTCACGGTGAAATTTCCTCCATAATTCATTTGATAATTTGGGGCACCATATGGGTTATACTCCATTACGCCGTTATAGGCATATCCCATTTGGCGGTTATTATCGTACCCCATTTGACCGTTATTAGCGTACCCCATTTGGCCGCTATTGGCGTAGCCCGTTTGCCCATTCACCGGGGGGCCTCTTGGCCTCTTCGGCTGGGCGTCCATGGCGACCTCCTCCCCCGTCGGTGGGCTCTTGATGGACCCCTTCCTCGGGGGATGCATTTTGTAATTTTCTATTGGGTATGCCCCCTCTTTCCTGTTGCCGCTTCTGCCGCCGTTATCGCTGTTATCGCGGCCCTTTCCGCCGACATCGCCGACATCGCCGCTAGTGGGCCCACTCGCATCGTGTGATTCCTCCAAATTGGCGATCTCTCCCCCCCCCTCGGCTATACCGACGTGAGGGCTCACCTTTTCCTTATTGGGAAACTCTTTCTGCATTAACTCCGCTTTATTTGCATAGGAATTCGCTGATACTTTCCCATTTTTGTAATTCAGCACCTCCTTTTTCACTCCCTGCGGATTGCCCTTCCCATTTTGTTTATCCTCCAGTCCTACATTTAACTTCTCCAGGATGGAAATCCTTTTGACACTCCTGTCCAGAATGCATCTGTCTGTGTAGTAAGTCTTTTCTTTTTTATTTCCGTCGCTGTCTAAATCGTCGAAATCGTCAAATTCATCTACAAATTGGTTTTCATTCAATTCTGACTGGTCGTTCCCGTCGGGAGGTTCTTTTCCCCCGTCGATCTGAGAAGCTTTCGTAGCATTCTCACTCCTATTACCTTTATTAGTATCCTCAACGGGGTGCTGTTCATTTCCCCCCCACTCCTGTTCATCGTTCTCGGTCCCCGTGCTTTGCGCCCTGTAAGGGGGAGGAGCTTTGCTAGGTTTTCCCCTAATGTCGCTCATTATTTTTACCTTATCTTTTGGGATGTACTGATTTTTTAGCTTCGTAGAATAGTCCCTGCCGCCCTGCATCTTAATCCCAGAGCTTTTCTCTTTAGAGGAGATTTTACTTAACACATTTTTACTGTCAAAATATGCCTTATCTTTAATTTTTAATTTTGTGCAAAAGAAGGTAAAGAGGGAGTGAACTTCCACAGTCGCGTTGCAGGTTACATGATTGATAAAATTTAAGTCCCTTTCTTTTTCGTACCTCCAGTTGGGTCTCCACTTTTTGATAACTCTGTGGGAGTAAAGGTTTTCTTTCTCCTTTTTGTCCTTCCAAATGTCCACATTTTTTTTGGACGACGCGCATGTCGAGTCGCTGTAAAAATTTGCCTCGGTGGAACTCTTCCTCGATATGTCCCAGGAGTGCACATATTTTGCTAACAGCAGTATCAGCTTCGAATTGTTCACTTTTTTTTTCAAAAAAATATCGTCTTTGTTTTCACTCCTTTTGGTTCCCTTGGCACCCATGCTGCTTCGCCTCCGTGTCTTTCTCAAAACGAATGTTCTCTCACCCCTTGGTTTTATTTTTTCCTTACAGTATGGGGTGATAGCTGCGCTTTTCAGTGTGTCCCATTTGGACCTCTCTGTCGACGCGGTTGTCTCTTTGCTTGAATGTCTCCAGTTAAGGAGGGTCCACTTCTGAAGGTGTGTGGAGGCCTTGTGCTTCCCTTTCCCTTTTCTCTTTCTTCTGATATGACGCCATTTTTTAAAAACGCAGGTTTCCACTGGGGGGGAATCCATTTGAAGACCGTCCACCTTGACTGCTTCCATCCCGGCGCTTCCCTCGTTTACTCAATCACATTTAGAAGAAAATTTCAGGCAGTGTTTTCCCCCCACACTTTGTTCACAACTGCGCACATTTGGCCTTCACTCTCAACACACGCAGAAATGTGTTACCCAGAGGGACACTCAAACGGTTATACTCCTTCAAAAAATAATCTGAAGCAAGTGTGTTCGTAACTGAAGGGGAGTTGTTAAAATGGAAGAAAAAGTATGTCTTCGATTGTCCGTTTTGGCAGCCACCTGCTGAATTGTTGCCGTGTGTTTGCAAAATTGGGAAAGAATATTTTTTTTGCCGCTCGGCTGTCTTTCCCTTCATTTCACACCATTGCGTTTTTTTTTTTTTTTTTTTTTTTTTTTTTTTTACCTCAAAAGTTGAGTTGTCCAAATAAAGCGTTGTTTAACCGCCGTTTAACGGCTGTCTGCATTTACACTCGCATAAAAAGAAGAAAGCGTCAAAATGGCAGGGCGCGCATTTTAACCAAGAAATGTTAACTATGAAATGATAACTGTGCCATATGGCGCATGGGACGAATGAGACGAAAATTAAAACCTTCTTAAGCGCTGCCCTCTTTGCGAACGCGGTTGGGGAACAACTGAAGAATCGAAAAAAGGCGTTGCCAAAAAGTGAAGTGCTGAGGTGCCGATGTGGCAAAACCGCACAAGTTGTCTTTGCGCGAAGGGCCACCCATCCACCTATGCATACTGGTAAGAGTATTCACCCTCACGCGCACGTCACCGCGTATGCATCGCCCCCTTCTTGCCCGCCTCTGCACACGGACAAAGTTTACAGCGAACTGTTGCTGAACGGACTCTGGTTCGGCAACTTTCCCTTTTTCACACTTAACAGAAATGTAACTTAAAGGAAAAAACAGGAAAGGTTTCACGTTAAAATAGACTTACCAGCTGATAAAAAAAAATATATATATAACTTTGGAGAAATTAATTCTTTTTTATATTCATTTTCAGCGTACACGATCCTTGCGCATTCTCCCATTTGTACATCCGAATGATGCTTTTTTTGCATGAACCAGGGGAAAAAAAAGAAAAAATTTGGCCCACACAATGGAGGAGCGAACATGTTCAGTTGGCATTAAACATTTAAAAGGGCACAGACATATCCAAACAATGCTAATGCTTATTGTTTCCAAGGAGTGAATAGACTCCTCCCAGTTGTAGTGTAGCATGCCACCTTTCCGTCGTGGTTCTCACTACGCAGTAAAAAGTATGAGCAACACGATTTTAACGTAACGTGTCAAGAACCCTTTTCTCGTAGTTTTTTTTTCCCCTCTTTGAGGTAACTACTATCAGGAAAAAAAAAAAAAAGGACATAATGAGGTACACAAAAAAAGAAAAAAAAAATACGAAGCAACGAAGGAACGAAGACAACGCAGTGCTATGGGAAAGAGCGCGCCCTCACGGACAGTCGGACCAAATTCCCACCTATTACAAAACTGAGCAAGGCCAATTCCTGCGAAAAAATAAAATTCAAGTGGGGGAAAGGAAAATGCCACTTAAGTGGTTTGTTGTATGGAGGAAGCGCCAACTACCGTTGATATGAAATCCCCCCTCTGGAGCAACTTAATTCCTCCTGCGCCCCAACAGTATCGGACTTTTTACATGCTAAGAGTAATGTGGAAAAAATGAAAACCCTATAACGACAAGCGTGTGCTCACATTATTTCACCTCTTCAAATTAAGAGTTATAAAAAGAGAAAACACAAAATGGTGCCTGACCTTTTGAGTAAGCAATTCTTCTAGCACAAAAACGTCGGTGTGTTTGTCGCCGCAGAGGGGGTCGCCTTTTCTAAACGAAAGACCACATACGTGTTCGAGCGAACAAGAAAGAAAAAAAAAAAAAAAAAAAAACACCCCATTGGGAGAAGGCCGAAATGTACGCTAAAATACTTCTACATATGTGCCACAACGTATAGATGTGCATGCACAACGACGCCTTGCTTCGAACTTTTCATCCCACTCATAATAAATTTACCCACTCGCACGCAGTGCTGCCAAGAAAAAAAAAAAAAAAAAAAATACACCCTATCCCCGTGCCGCCACAAAAACAGCATCGACTCACACAGTTACACACGATGAACAGTTGCAATTTCGCGAAACTGGCCGAGTTAAGGAAACCCCTTGTTATAAATTTCCCCCAAACGACATACATACCAACGTTAAAAAGGAAGCTCAGACAATTCAGCACAATGAGAACGCACACGTGTAAACATCTTATCGAGACGAACGAGCTCCACAACCTTATAAAGAACAAAATGGAGCATTTGCTGTTTGACACAAGCTGGTACAATATCAGGCAGGGGGAAAAAGATAAAAACTCCTTTGATGACCACGGTCAGGTAGAAAGAATACAAGGAACCATCTCCTTCAATTCGATAATTACCTCCAATGAAAATCCCAATTTTTCTTTTTTCTTCCCAACTCAAGAAGAGTTTTTCTCCTACCTAAGAAAGCTACTCGTGGAAAGTCCAGTAGACATAAAAATAAATACACTAGAAAACGTTCCTGTAATTCTTTACGAAAAGGAGGAAATATTTTATGCCCCCAGAATTTGGTTCATGTTCAAATTGCATGGATTCCAAAATGTGCAAATTTTAAATGGCGGCTTGAATAAATGGCTCAATGAGGAAAGAGACGTCATGGAAACAGGTGCCTACGCAGAGGGGGGTGGGCATGTTCCCCAAAGTGGCAAAATTGTGCAAGTGAACAAAATGATAAAAGAACATGTAGAAAAAAACAAAAAACAAACAAGTGAAAATTGGAAAAAAAGTATATACCATTATGATGATATACACAATTTCGTCACCGGAAGGAAGAAACAAAATGATGACATGGAACACTTTGTTCTTGTGGATACGAGGCCAAACAGCTCCTTTAGCGCGCTGTTGCCCATTAATGAGAAGGAAAAAGTGGACAATTTCATTCCCTTTTCAGTTAACATACCTTATCATCATTTTATTAGCAGTCATGATGAGAAATATAAATTTTTTACCTTTAAAAATGAGTCCGAAATAAAGAACATTTGTGACCAGTATGATCTTCTAAATAAGCAGAAGACGGTCATATCGACATGCAACAAAGGAATCAGTGCCTGTGTTGTACTATTCCTTTTGCATCAGCTAAATAAGCCGCTCCACCAACTGGCACTGTACCATGGAAGCTTCGTCGATTACAAGTTTAGGAAGTACGCCCTTCAGTAGAAGGAGGTCTACGCGGTTGGCCATTCGTTTTGCTTTCTTCCTTTAGGTGGACAATAAGGGGACACCTCTTCTCCAAGATAGGTTTCCCTTCTTTGTTATCATCCCAGTGGAAGCGAAGCAACGTTGTCACGTTGTTACGTCGTTACGTTGTTACGTTTTTATGTTGTTATGTTATGTTTTTCTTTTTTCGTTCCTCCAACTAAACATTTGAAAGGGGAAACCCGAGTGTACATACAACACTTTTTTTTTTCTTTTTCTTTTTTTTCCCCACATGGGAAGAGTAAGCCATTACATAAAAACAAATATACACATTTGCATGTATCAACCCTTTCTCAACAACACTGAGAGAGAAACTTCCCCAGCGTGCACTCGTCTGGACGTCACCACGATGAAAACACTTGGAGGGATATATTTTTGTCCCCTCGTCTTTGTTGTCCATTCTATTGTGTGTACATTACTGTGTATGCCAAAATGAAAAACAACAAAAGTAAGGGGGGAAATAAAAAGAAAGTCGAAACGGCAAAGGGCGGAGGTATTTCTAAGGATGCGAATCCGGACTCCCCAAAAATTGCCCTCCAAAATGGGGGCAGTAGAGACGAGCAGAAAGGGGAATCCAGAGAAGGAACCCATGAAGAGATAGCTCAGCAGGAACACCAAAACAAACCTCGCAATGGTCATCAAACTGCAGATGATAATTTTGAAGGGGCTAAAATGATAAGCGCCAGCCCATCCTCCGTGTGCGCACCTATGGAGGTGCCCCCCTCAGGGAAAAAAGTGGAATACCAAAAAAAGGGAAGCAATAGGAAGAAGGCTCAAAAAGGAAAGGCGATCATCAAAAACCGTGCCACTACCGCTCCCACTACCGCGGGTGATATGAATAGGGGGAGCGAAAAACAAAGCAGTAATAACAAAAAGAGGAATAAACCGAGCAGTGGGAGAACCCCCAAAAAGGATGAACGGAGCGGTGAACAGAACGTCAACCCAGGGGAAGACAGCAAAAAGGGGTTGAAAAAAGAGATACACCAGGAAGAAAAGAAAAAGATAAAAGGGGAGATTTCATACGAAGGAGCGCCCCCCATTAACGAACAACCAATCGTAGGTAGGAACTTAGTGCAAAGTAGCGGAGAAAGAAAAGCCGCAATCATCTCACCAGATCACGAAATTTTGGAGAGCGAAGCCAAAAGTGGAGCAGGTAAAAAGTGTGATGACCCCCACGTGGACTCGGAAAATGCCAAGGAAGTGAAAATAAATGCAAATAAAAAGAGGAAAATAAGCAAAAAAGGCGAAGCGGACGATCAAAGCGAAACGAGCAAGAAAGGCGAAGGGGGCGGGAAAAGCGGAACGACCAAAAAAGGTGCAGCAAGCGGGCAAAACAAAACGAATGAACAAGACGAAACGACCAAGCAGCGCGAAAGGAAGGACGACGATGGAACCACTTTACAGCCCGACACGATCAGTGACGAACGTAAGGGCCCCCCCGAGACAACCACCTTGATCGAAAAAAACCAAAAAAAAACTGCCAGCAAAAGCGAAGCGGAAAATAAACCAAAAGGAGCCAAAATTACCCTCAGCGAAGAGGAAACAAAAGAAAAAATTTACAAATATATGAAGCAAACGAATAGACCCTACTCAGTCATTAATGTGTACGACAACCTACACGGCACCATCAGCAAAAACGTCGTCCAAAAACTGATGGACGAATTAAGTACAGAAAAAAAACTGCAGTGTAAGGAGTATGGGAAAGCCAAAGTATATCTGGTCAATCAAAGGGAATTTAAAAGCCTAAATATGCAAGAAATGGGGAAATTAAAAAAGGACATTGAATTGATAAGAGAGCAGACTGAAGTGGCCAAAAATGATCTTAACCATTTTGTAAAAATAAAAAAAAAGTTAATTCAAGATTTAGAACTTGTGGAAAATGTAGATAAATACAAAAAAGAGTTCCAGCTAGTGGAGGAAGAAATAAAAATGTACGAGAAGGCAAACAAAGCATGCAAGCTAACTTCGGACGAAATTGACCTGATTAAAAACAAGCATGGCTACTTGCACGCCATGTGGCTCAAGAGGAAAAGGCTCTGCGTGGAAATCATTAAGTGCGTTGCCACCTTAACGGATAAGGACTCCAGGGGCGTCATCTTCCACTTGGGCATCGACGTCGACGAGGACGTGGTCCCGCCCAGCTTGTACTCCTAGAGTGGTAAAGCTGTGAAGCGGCACAGTGGAAAAGCGGCAGATTGATGAAGAGAAAGACTGTTAACGCAGCGGAGTGGTAAAACTGCAACACGGTTGAGCTGCTAATTTCCTAGCCTCATAACCTGCAAAGCGTTCATACCAATGCGACTCTTTCGCTGCTGCCCCCCAAACCGAGAGAAGACCATGCGCAGATGCAAAACTTAAACCGAAAAAATGCACAACAAGTTAGCCAGTTTGATTGCCCTGTCACTTCTATATGTATTTGCTGTGGCGATAACTTTCAATGAAGGATGAATTTTTTAGCCACAAACAGTTCCTTCTTTGTAAATTGCTTCCTAAATATTAGCTCTTCCGTGATGAGTACGTACACAAACAGAGATACATCGAGACATAGGGACACGCACACGTGCGTACGGAGATGTGTGGCCCCTTGGCCCCATGAATCGAACTAAAGAAAACCAAAGGGAGGGGAAATTTGTCAACTCTCCTCAATTACGCACAAAGAATAGTGCACCCTTTAAAATCGGTTACGATCATATCGAGGCCTAACCCGAAATCACGTCCTCGAAACAGAATTAATGAGACAAACACGGGTAATGCGGAAGGAACAACTCGCAATGATTTCATTACGGTTGCAAAATAGCATCGGGGGGAGGGGGATTTTCCTGACAACTTACCCCCTTTTGCAATACATTTATGGCATGTACTATTGTAGGGAACAACCACTTGTGCAAAGAGACACGTGAGGCTTCCTTTTTTTTTTTTTTAAATTTTAACAATTTCGGTGTTACTAAATTGTGGGCGTGAAAAAAAAAGATAAAGGAAAAAACAACAAACGGTAGGCGGCAAAATTGGGACACGCGGGAAATTTATTTTTTTTAGAAAATGGGAAAGCACCCACAGTGTACGGTAAAAACGTATGTACACTTTGACGAGCAGGAGTGATTAAGTCTTCGAAACGAATTGAGATAGGGGGAGGAAAAAGAAAAAATTCCATCATTGTAGATGGGAACAAGAGAAGTTATAAATGGGTTTAAAATGAGACAAATGCAAACTGAGCGCATATCCATTTGGCCATACGCTTGAACCGTGGATCCACTTCTGGAGGGTCCACCTATATGGGGTCTCTTCCATTGGCAAAAGAAGTTTCGTATTCACCTTCCTCGTTCTGGTCGCGCGGCTGGCGAATATACAACGCCGCGAAACAGACGACAGAGTGAAGTACAAAAAAAAAAAAAAGGTTAGCTAAACAGCACTGCACTGCTGTGCCCACGCCGGGGGGAAGGGGGGGAAGCCCAAACTACGTCTCCTTCACCACAATTTTGGGGAAGACATTCATTGTCTGCAGCTCCTGGAAGAGCAATTTGCACGCATAGGGCATCTTAACAAGAGCATTTTTGTCGCATTTCTGACAGAAGGTGCAGTATGTGTCGTAACCCATCATACCACAATCTTCACAGATGTACACATCACACACATCACTACTTAACATTAATCGCTCAAGTAACAAATTACTAACACCATAGGCTATTAAGCAATCTCTTTCCATTTCACCTAACCGTAATCCTCCTTCTTTGGACCTCCCTTCAGTTGGCTGTCTAGTTAGCAACTGTCTTGGTCCTCTAGCCCTAGCGTGGATTTTATCCTGTACCATGTGCTTTAACTTTTGATAATAAATGGGTCCCATAAAGATATACGTTTCTAACGGTTCCCCTGTCAATCCTGAGTACAGCAATTCTTTACTGGAGCAGTTGAAACCATATTTAAACAAAATGGACGCAATTTCCTCAAAGGGGGTGCCACTAAAAATGGATCCGTATTTTAATTCTCCATCTAGCACTGCTGACTTGGAGGCAACAAGTTCGAGGAGCTTCCCCACCGTCATACGCGATGGAAATCCATGTGGGTTCATAATCAGATCTGGACATATACCCGATTCAGTAAATGGCATATCTTCCTGATTAACTAGCAAGCCGACGACTCCCTTCTGACCATGCCTTGAGCTAAATTTATCCCCCAATTCGGGCAGTCTCGTTTGACGCATAATAATTTTGTAGATTTTTAACCCTTCTGCGTTCTCTGTAAAAATAATTTTGTCAATGTAAGATGGGTACACACTTTTATATTTAACTTCATTCAACTTTAAATCATTTAAATCGATTTTACTGATATCCTTCACGTGATCTTTGACATTTCTTGGTGAGTATTTATTTATGTAGACTTGTCCTTCTTTTAGCAGATAGCCAATGGAGACTACTCCGTCCACATCGAGCGCGTGATATTTTTTAATTTCTTTATTCTGGAACCTTTTCGGCTCATCCACGTTGGTGCCTGCGCCGTTTTCTACGTGGTCTCTTTCTTGCTTTACGTGTTGTCCCGGTGCGGCAAGCTGGTGTTCCTTCTCTTGGCGTTGCTTCTCCTGTGGCTGTTTCTCCAGGCGCTGCCTCTCTTGTCGCTGCTTCTCCTGCCGCTGCTGCAGCTTGCTGATGGCCAGGGGAGAGGGCAGGACCAGGTCGTTGGACCCGTTAAAGTAGTTCTTCAACTCCACGGCATGCTTCCTCAGAGACATACACCGTCCGAATCCCCGATCGATGGAGGATTTGTTCATGACGATCGCGTCCTCAATGTCGTACCCACAGAAACTCATAACGGCCACGATGGCATTCTGTCCAGCGGGCAACTTTTCAAAGTTAATAAATTCGATGGTCTTGGATTTTACTAGCGGTTTCTGGGGGTACACGAGCAAATACAGCAAAGTGTCGCAACGGACGAACTGATTATATCCAATGGCTCCAATGGCTTGCTTCCCCATTGCACATTGGTATGTGTTCCTCGGGCTCTGATTATGGTTTGGATAGGGAATCAGCCCAGCTACCACCCCCAATATTGTCAGAGGGTCTATCTCCAAATGAGTTGTATTAATAGAAATGTCTGACTCCTTTAGCGCGATAAGCAGATTGTTCTGTTCATTCACGTCTATCCACTCGATGACGGAACTTTTAAGTAAATCAAAAAAGTTAATGGTCCCATTTTCTAGTGATACAATATGCTCCTGGCATAATTTGGACTTCCCATTTTCTACAATTATCAATGGTCTGCACAACCTCCCACCATCGGTAGAAATGTAAATAGCTTTGTGCAAAAAATTATCATATATAGAAACGAATTGGCCAATTTTGCCATATCTTCTTAAGCACCTAATTCTCCTCATAAATATGCGTGGCTTCTTATGCACGCCTAGAAGTATCCCATTAAAAATGACGAAAAAGATCCCCTCTTTGTACAATTCCTCTCCTGTTAAGCTGTCACTGTCTTCTACCCCCAGGGTGTATAATATTTCGATTAGGTGTTCATTATTTTCATTGTCATTCGTGACATGTGTCATGAGTGCTAAATTTTTTACCAGTCCACACGATTCCCCTTCTGGAGTGTCACATGGGCATAGGACTCCCCACTGGGATGGTTGCAATGCTCTTGGCCCACTAACCTTTCTACCCTTTTCGAACTGGGAATTCAATCTGGTCATCATTCCGATGCATGCAATGAAGGATAAACGGGACAATACCTGTGACACTCCACTTTTCTCCATCTTAAACCTTTTAATGTTCCAATTTCCCGTCGAAATGGCCGCCTGCATCCCCCTTGTAATGATATCCTTTGGTAGGCTTCGAAACACATCCGGGTAAGTTTCATTTATATTCCCACTGTACTTGGACTTGGACGTGTAATTACTTTGCATATATTTGCTCAGCGTCTGATCTATCTGCTTCTTTAAGGTGAAATAAAATCGTTTGTATAGATCTTCGAACAGCAGAGATATTAGCTGCCCAGCTAGCTCCAACCTTTTGTTACCATAATAGTCTTTATCATCTAATTCGTTCTTATTATTTGCGCTATCTAGAACCCGTCTGATCATGAGACAGATGCATCTCGCTTTGTTTCTAAAATCATATTTATTCTTCTGCTGTATGTGAGATAGAAGAACTCTGCTTAGAAAATCCAATCCTTCTTCGATGATGTCCTTTTCATTTTTTACTTGCTTCTCCTTCATGGAACTGAAGAACCCCTTGGCTAGAAGCCTGGGCCTAATTTTTTTCCCTATGTAGAGCAGTGCATCTAAATTTGTCTTTATATTTTCGCTGTACAACTCGTACAGGGAGAGCAAAATTCCGTTGTGGTAATTTCGGTGCGATCCTATCATTTGAAATATTTCCTGGTCACTCTCGTACCCCATGGCTCTAAGGATAATACACACCCCGATGTCCTCAATGAAAGAGTTATGCTTTAGGTACAGCTTATTATTCTTATAAACGATGACACATCTACTTTTCGATTCCGCTGTCGTAGAGGTGATCGTTGCGCAGATATTATGTTTTATGTCCATCTCGACTATGATTCTATTTTTTGACAGCTGCTCCTGCATTAGAAGAACCCTTTCGGTTCCTTTAACGATGAAATACCCCCCAGGGTCATATGGACACTCACCCAATTTCATCAGCTCCTCTTCAGTCTTGTTATTTAGAATACATATGTCACTTCTCAGCATCACGGGCAGTCTCCCAATCTCCACATTGTTCTTTCTAATTATGTTGCTACCTTTTACATATTCCACATCTACATAGATGGGAGCCGAATAGGTTAGGTCTCTTTGCCGACATATCTGTGGAGTCAAATTGGTTTCTATCATATTTTCTTCAACTGACGGTCTCCCTACAAATATATCTAAAAACTCGACATAGAAATGCTCGTCTATATCCGATTTTAAAATCTTATTTGTGGTTGCATTCATTATTGTTTTTATTTCTTGCTTTATGAAATAGTTGTATGACTCGATGTGCTGCTTAACCAACCCCTTCACCTTTAAGTATGCTGGCAGCAGCTTCCATTTTTCGGTCAAATTTTTTATATCCTTCGATTCTTCATATATCTTTTTGTTATGTTCCCTACTTTTTACGACAAGTTCGGAGAAGTTGTCCTTTTCTGTGTTTTTGCTTCTCTTCGGGAGAGACTTAGGGCCATCAAAACGGATAGGGGCGTCAGAACAGATGGGGCCACCATCCACTGCTTCGCTCTTTACCCCCTCATGCACCCTACCGTTTGGTTTATTCTCCCTAAATTGGCCGAACGGATGCTTAACAGCTTCGACCTGGTTAACCGCTTCGGCGTGGTGGATGCCTAGCGCCAAGCCCAAGCCGTAGCCCTCCCCGATGTTATCCTGTTTTTTTACATTCTTCCCCAGAGAGGCGCTCCCCCTAAGGCTCCCTTCACTCACATTTTTATACTCATTTAAGTCGCCTACATGGGCGATGCTGCTTATCTCATCATCCGATTCGCCGATCTTTATTTTAAAATTTTCGTCGCTCCCCCCTTGGTCCTTTTGCCCAAGGATAAGCGGGTCCTGTTTGGTACCCTTTATTCTCTTGATTTCCATAACTTCCCTGACTCCCTTAACCTCATGGATTTCCTTTCGTTCCCTGCTCTCCTTCACCCTGTGTCCTGGTTGACCCTCCCCTTTGGCATCTGCAGGATTTCCCTCTATCGTATCGTCCACCTCGACGTTGTCTTCATTGTTCTCCTCCGCTTTTCCCTTCTCTCTTTTCGCCTTAATTCGTATGACCCCCTTCATGGTGGTGGTCCGCGGGCCTCAGTTTGGAAATTTCTCTAGAGCAGCTACCACTACGGCGCCTCCTCATGTGATGTCCCTCCAACACAGCCGCAGAAATAGATGTAAACTGACTTGGTGCGCCGACGCCTGCGTAATAGAGACACAGGTATACACCCCCTACGGCTACTTAACTGTGCCCCCCGTAGCATTCACTAAAATTCGCTAACTTCTGTTTGCGTACACGTAGGATTGCGGCGGTTTGGTTTACTCAATCATTTTGCATAATTTATAAGAAGTAGAATATTTTACTTATCTTTTTTTAAAAGAAATGGCTTGAGAATCTTCTCAGCTTTGCATCGCTCGCTCTGGTCACATGTTTTTCTCCCCTACTGCGTTTGAACTAGCCGAAATGAGAAGCTCTGCAAACGATCCGGGCTGGGATAAAACTGGTACGTTGGCTCCTACGACCAGCAGGTCATAACTGATAACTGTTTTATCCCTATTTTGTTATTAACAAAATGGATAAGGGGGTCAGAAAAAAAGAGGATCATTCTAACATGCATCCCAGCGTGCATAACCCACGTGCATACCAGGGCACATAATAGGTACATAATTTACACGTATGCGTGGTGGTATGGCTTGTGGAGCAGGTTTAGGAATGAACTTTCATCTGTCACAACTTTTCCATTTTTTGTTGTTTTTTTTTTTTTTTCCTACTTCATTCCATCTGTGCAATAAAATAAATTGGCTCTATTTTTCTGCCTACGCTGTAATTACCCCTGTGTTCGCACATATGATACAATTCTTCTTTTGCGGTTTCCGCTAGTGGGGGAACCACCGGGTTTGATGTTGATATATTGAGATCCTTTCGCGACGATGTGAAGGTAACACAAATGCATAGGGAGAAGAACACATGCCTTGGTGTTACGTCCGTATGAAATTATTGCCAGTCGCTGCTCCTTTCGGTGGTCCTCCCCCGTTGGTTCATTCTGGGTTGCGCCCTTTTGTCGCCTCCAATTTTCGCCCCAAATGGTTTACCTCTTTTCCAGGAGGAATAAACCTGGGACGATTTTTTCTTTTTTTCTCTCTCTTTCTAAACCGAGCACCCATTTTTCTCTGCAACATTTTTTTGCCGCCTTAGAAGAAAAAAAAATAAATAAATAAAAATAACCCCACTATGAGCTTTCCAAATGAGGGAAAAAAATATTTGGACTCGTGTGAAGGACGTTGGGTGAGTAATTATCCCAGTGCTCTTGGCGTAGGTGATGAAAAGTATAGCCGCTTCTGTTCATTTATAATCAGGTCTCCACATATACATATAAGCACTTTCATATACTGGCACAGATCATCCGCGGAGGGAGTGTTGCGATACTCCATTTTACCCCAAACGCGCCTCACAGTGTGAACAGTCCGACGGGAAAAACTGCCGTGTTAGCCAAAGTTTCTTCCACGCTCCAAAGAGGGATCATACATATGTCCACATAGCGACGCACAGGTGGATTTACATCTAGCCTAGATGCCATTCTTAACTCATCATCCTGGCACCGTCGAGTGAAGTATCCGTAGACTGAATGATAGGCAACGCCTTACAAATTTGAAAGAGAAAATGTTTAATGTTTGTCTTGCGCGACATGCAAAATGGAACGCGCAAAGTGGCATTCCAGGGGTGAACACAGAAAAAGGCTTCCCATGGATGAACCCATCCGTGGCGCTCTTGTTTTTTTTTTCCTCTCCTGCCTGGGGAAATACCCATTGGAGGCACATTTTGATGGTCGCTGAACTATTTCAGTGGCGGGAAAGAATATAACGTTTTGGAAAAATGAGTTCGCAATATGTTTATACAATTAAAAAAGTGGAGCATCGCTGGCCTCGCTTGGCGATGACATAACAGGGTGACAAGACTGCAGGGGATGGGACGCGCGGGCGGGCGCTGATCCCTTAGGCACGGACTGGAAAAAAGGGAAAAACTGCTAAGTGGGACACGCGGCTACAATACATTTGGAAGCACCCACGCACGAAAAGAGTGCCAGCTGGCGCATCGTGGAGCAATGCAATTATGCGATTATACGATTGTATGATTATACGATTATACAGGCAGCACAGGGTACAGCGTCGTGCGTGCATCAAATAAAGGTGTGGGGCGCGTGCCGTCGCTTGACTAATGTGTTAAAAAAAAAAAAAAAAAAAAAAAGCACCACCACGAAATAAGGGTAAAATGCACCTTTTTAAAATGGTCAAGATGCGCCTCTTCAAAATGGCCAAAAAACGCCTCTCCTAGACGTGCCGTTCAAATGGCATCAATGTCGATTTCCTCTTCGTCGCCCGTGTAGTTGATGCCATCTTTGGCATCCAAAAATATTTCTTCCTCATACTTTTCACTCTTGGAGTCTTCAAACGCCTTATCGTTATCGTCCGCAACTGCGTTGTCCACACTAGTCCCGTTCTGAATTTCCCTACTGTTGTCATCATTATTTCGCAAAGACTTGACTTTGTAGCTGGTCAAATTATTCACGGGGTTACTAACTTGGCTATCTTCCTCCTCGGACTCATCTTCATCAGAGTCGTTTTCCTTCAACCAACGAACGAAATGTTTCGCCATACATTTGCATTTATTGTAACACTCCAGGTAGTATTTATTTTTCTCGTCAAGGCTCTCGGAGCTGCTAGTCCTTTCAAACGAAGCCGTCGCAGAGCTGCTAACATCATACCGTTTAATAATATCCTTACTTTCTAAGACGTCATTGTTGTAGAGAACTTGTAGAATATAAGGGTAAATAATAAGTGCGTTCAGAGCCACCTTGTTCACATAATACTCCAGGGCGAGAAAAATGTCCGTAACGGAAACCGACGTGTCGTTGACCTTCTTTATATACTTAATATATTTTTGTAATAACTCTTTGGTTATCTGATTGTCAAACAATGCAGAGAGGCAAATATAAATTCTGCACTTGGAGTCAAAGCTCTGAGATACCTGCAGCACACGAAGTTCCTCACAAAAATCATTGTCACTTATATTTGGGAAAGTAACAAATAGGGTTCTCATCCTTTCGATAACTTCTTTAATTTCTACACTGTCAAAATGGAGAGATTCTTTTTCTAATACAAAATTTTCTTCCGTTTTGTTTTTCTTTTTATCTTTTTTCTTCGATTTTTTTTCCTTTTTAATGTTTCCATTATTCGTTGGATTATTACTTTTATCTGTGTCTAGTCCCTCTGTACTATCGTAATCTCCTCCGGAATGTAGCATTCCATTTTTCGTTTCTTCATTTTTGTCCCCCTTTTCTGCTAATCCTCCTTTGTCACTCTTTCCTTTGCCATTTTTCTCCACCTTTTTACTATCTTTCGTTTTTTTCTTTTTACTTCCAAGCGTGCTTATCTGGGGGGGGTTTTTAATCATGTAGGTGGCAATCTTGTGAGAATTATTTAGCTCGCCAATATTTCCACATGCGTTACACTTACAGATTAGGAAGCCTTTTTTAACGACGATGTCCGTTTCGGGTAATAGACAGTGGGGGCAGAGAACATACATTTCGATGAACTTGTCCAAAATATTCACTAAATCGTTTTCCTTGTGTGCACCATTTACAATTGCTTTTTCTTCATTCTCTTCAAATTTTACCATGGTTCCTAATTCACATCCGAAAAATTTCGTGGGGTACATCGGCGGTCTCTTCAGCGACCTCGCGATTTCTCCCATGTTTGCGATATTCGTCCTGATGCCATTTCCTCTTCCCTCAATTTTGGATATCAGCTTGGGCATCTTATAGCGGTAATTTGGATCGTTTCGATCCCGCGGGATGTTAATGTACGACATTTTCGCTCAGAGGTGGTCCGCTTAAATGAGTCCAGCTAACTTCTCCTCGTCTCTACACGTTCAGACTGCAATAGGGTGTATGCAGAGTGATGTCTTCGGCAAGTGATATGTTTAGCGACTGATCTGTTTGGCAACGTCTCCTTGGCCCCGCTTAAATTGTCCCCTTTTTTTTTCCTTTTTTTAAAGCGCTCCCGATTGGGTATCAATCTGATTCGACCCCCTCACGGAACGTACTTGTACAAAAGGCAACTTCGTGCGCAATTATGTGCAAATAAACTTCTCTGTGCACTTACACAAGAAAGCCTCCGTCACAGCGCAGCGCAGCTAAATAATATTCACAGGCTCTCCACACGCAAGGAATATCCCTTGTGTAAAAACTAATGCATACAACAAGGAAGGGGGGAGTAGGAAGAAAAGGGGTGAACAAGCACAAACATACAGATATAAATATAAATGTACATATGCACGTATATTCATTTCAGCTCAATGGTGTATCTTCCGGAAGGTGCTCACGGGTCATGGGCACTCCTCACCAGGGCACGAACTTATACGCATACACGTAAATAACTAACGCGGCTTTTCTCACGACACTTTGTCCTCCTTGGGAAGAGAACAGATAAGATGTATGTCACTAAACAAGCTCTGCGGTGCTGTGCGTGCTTATGTACATGCGCGTAACGGCTAAACATCACACAAAGATACATACAACTCTGATAAATTAACTCCAGCTTGCGGGGGGACAAAATGGTGACAATGAAAAGAAAGGGGAACTATACAGGAATATACGGAACCCGCAGCTATGCGTAACACAAAGGTACATAATAAGAATGTTGTGCTCTGTATGTACACTGAGTGAAGGAGCTAAAATGGTGAACTGCGAACTTCATAAATGGGCATTTGTCTCTCCATGGTGGAAATAAACAGAGGCGACACTTAGACGCACGCCGATGACTCAGTATGCTAATTGCAAATGTGGGTTATGCTCTACCCGCGTGGTGCATAAGGAACATAAAGTATCACAACATTTCGCATATAAAAAAATGTTCCCATTGGGATTTTCCGCTCTGATTTCCCGTGTGCATGTGTACCTATGTGTGCACGAACTTTTACGTACAGAAGGTGCCTGTGTAGGACTGCTAAAGGGGGTTCCTTAGTGCTGTTCAAACGAAATGGTATTTTCTTCCTATATCATTGTGTGTTGAGATGA